TTTGTATATACATATATATAAAGTATTGGGAAATCAAGCTGATGCTGATAAATGTGTGTTGTTGATAAACTAATGCTATACAAATAATGGGCTAGATTCGCATGATATGAATTGGTCGAAGCACATTTGGCGCACTTTCAATGAGCTTGAATCACATATTCTCACGTGACATGGTATTAATTATATACCATCGAACAAAACACTCCTCGTTGAATGACTATATTTGTTTATTATTATTATCCACATTCATTGCGATGTTTGTATCCAAAGCAATTTTAATCAATATTCACACTGTCATACACTTGCAAGCGTTTTATATCCAGCATGCGTCCAGCCACATGAAAGCCAGCGGTACAATCTGCTGACCTATTAAAATCAATCTTGAACACACTCACACTCGCTCTCGCATTCGCTTCGACCGTAATCATATCATGCCTTTGCCTGGTATCCCTGGTTACAATTGTATCAACTGGACAACAATCTGCACCACCTCAACTGTAGTTGCTACTGCATATGCCCGCCCCTACATTACGGCGAGCGGGTACAAGATTAGGACCAACTAATTTTGCATCTGCGGCCAAAACAGGCAGAGTTGATGACTCACGACTTCCGTCACGAAGACAGATACACATGCACACAATATCTTGGTAGAATGCACTATCATGGTAATCCTCGTCGCAATTGCTTGAGGCGACTGTTTATTTCAATTTCCAGTAGTCGTAGTCGCTAGTGCAGGAGCCACCATCTTCACGACGAGCAGATGCGTATATCGGTTCCACAGAAACCACCTCTTCGGCCAGAATAGGAAGCACAGAAGCCTCACTACGTCGGTCACGGAGGCAAACACATATGCATTTGGTTTTGCTAGAATACATTCGCGTGGAGGCCTTCCATACAGTTCTTCGTTGTTACAGGGCAGTCCAGAATCCCGTAATCCTAGTGGCTGGAACAGGTGCCACCGATATCGCGAAGCTCGGTCAAACACTTATTTCCATACAAATAGAGCTACATAGTAGCGAGCACTACGGCTAGTATTGTACTGAATGATTTAATCATATTGTGTGGGTATGGGCGCTTGTTTCTAGCTACTTTGAATTACCTTGCGGTTCTATTTGTTTATCATGATGGTCTCTTATATTTTACTTGCGATACCCACTCAGCTGAACATGTTGGCGGTGCCTCGGAAATGTATGCCAACAGCGTGTACGAAATGTAATCAGGTGAATCAAAATAGAATACATGAACAAGAACCAAACATCGACTAGATATACGAGAGATGGGTTGAAGTGTATGGTCGGTTTCGCAATTCTTCGCACAGAGACTAACCCAAAAACCCTACTATGTATCGACTAAATGCGCACGCCACCTAAAAGAGTCAACCAAAATCAAATACGTATACACTCCCACGGTGCAAATGTATGAAAATGCTAATAATAGTTATGAGTGGTTGCTAAAATGGAACAAGATCAAAAACCGATAAAGTAGATCGCCGGTTGTGCGTTTCGCATGATTTCAGAGAATGTGTAAAGATCAATAATCTCTTAGGAGGTATGTCACTAGAAACCTAAAAACAGTACCACCCTTGCCAGGCAAACGTAATTTTCTAGTTGACGAGTTCGAAAAACAAGAATTCTTGAAGTATCGGGGCCTGTAATCTTGTTCCAGAGTAGCTTGCACGCGGTTGAATGTCCTCTGGGATGATGCGTAGAGCGTTAATTCTTACTTTAAAAATGAACATAATGATGTGAGCAATTATTCCAGGCAATTTCTAGATGAGATGCTTTTGGTATCAGTGATATCGTACTTGTATCGATTAGTTGTAGTCGTGCGGGAGTGTCAATCAATCATTGGTACGACCGCCTCTGTATCTTTTTTATCAGTGTCATTGAAATCCAGAAATACAGACGCAGAGCTCTGTGAAAAAAAGATTTTTTTTTCCAACTACACAAACAGTCAAAAACTGTTTTTTTTCAAGAGGAAAATAATTCTCAGGACTCAGATCTAAATACAACTGTTTAGAATATAAAATTAACCAATTGAAATCATCAATAAATTTTGTTACTCAAATTGAATTATGTTTTTGGTTAAATTTAAAAAAAGGTTTGTAACAAAAAAAAGGTACATATTCTGTCCAAATGCAAGTCTGCAACTGTCTACATAATGCTTCTTCTTTCCAATAGCCTCCCAAATAGAAGAGAGGCTCTGCATTTCATGAGATACTTCGATTTAAAATGGGTAAGATGATCCGTAGAAAACCCAATCGATAAACAGGTAGAGGATTTCTGTACCGGTTGGCGCAAGCAGTCATATGTTCAATGTAATACTACAATAGTTGTTATTAGCGATATGAATGAGTAGTACTGGTTAAAATAATTAACAAGTCACGTTTGACCAGAAGAGTACTAACAATCGAACTAGGTTTATCTCTCTGCAATATGAAAGCTACCGCTTCTTATCATAGCAAATTAAGACTTGAATAGCAATCAACTGGTATAAAAGGATATCATATCAACATCAACTCTTACAATAAAATCTCAACACCTTAAAGGAAGTTTCAAATCGACATCAGCTATCACGACTAAACTATTGAGTGCACTGATTATGGCAGTGTCTGCTACTAGCTCACTTTGTGTGGGAATGAGTGCCCCGATTAATCGTCGTGATATTGGTGGGATTGCCCTGTAACAACGAACAACTGTATTGAAGGCTTTCACGCGAGCGCATTCTACCAGAACTTCGAGTGCGACTGTGTTTGCCTCCGAGACGGACGTCGTGAGTGAGGCATTTTTTGTTCCTGCTTTGGCTGAGGAAGCGAATTCTGCGGAGCTATTACTGGCTCCAGTTCGTCGTGAACTTGGGGGTTCTTGCTCTAGCGACTACAACTATTGGCAATTGGATTGCCCTGTCGACTCAGATAACTACAATCAGGGCTATCACGCCAGCGCCGAATACGATTATGATCACAGTGAGTGCACGTGCGAGTGCGTGCAAGGCTAGATTTCTTTCAAACAGATGACAGCTGAAAAAGAAGTGAATGTATGTCACTTTCGTACATCAGTGCTGGAATTGATGTGTTTGGGTCCATGAGAGGGAAGCGAGCTCTTGACAGGAATGTCGCCGATTCTTTGTACGCTAATAAACACCGGTTTATATTTCGACTTCTATTTTTAGGCTGAGGCGAAAGGCATGTCTTTGACCAGCACTACATTTTTACAGTTGCTTCTGTAGCTTCATATGAGTGTGCATATTGTTAATGTTTAATACTCATAGAGTGCTACAAGCGTAAACCAGAAAGTTTATTATCAACTACGCTTTGCGAACGTTCATGTCACCACAAGAAGTCAGCTCCATCGTGCCAATGTATGCTCTCATTCATCGCGACACTATTGGCGTACACTGTAGCGGCTATATCTGTATGTAATATCAGGCGAAGTCGAAAACCGCAATGCAGGAAATCACGCGAGCGCATTCCACAAGGATGACATATTCATTTCTGTCATCGTAGAGGAAGTTTAGCAACATCCTGAATTGCTATGACGGACGAGGAAAGAGCTAGAGTAACACATGCTTCAGGAATTACAAGCATTGGAAGTTACCAGTCCAAATGCCTCCATCAACTGCGAAAATGGATATCTCGCAAGTACATTCTATTTATACAGTGAGTGTAAGTGCCTTTTTTGCCGCAACTGTAAATAAAATAGCAATCGGCAGTATTATAAGGTAGCGATGTGGTCTTGCGAATTATTCCTGTCATGGTCCGATTCGACGCAATGTTAATTAAAATACGTACCTAACAAGTAATTTAAAATCCCATCCGAGATAGCGGTGCTGGGACAGTGCATGAGCTTTCCAGGCTACAAGAGGGAGGGAAATAAACTGTGCGGTGACAATCTCGCTTGCACAGATGAATAATATCATTGCCCGGCACTTATCTAAAAAGTGAGAACCTTGCATGTACGCATTGATATCTATATGCTATAGCATTTTCACACTCTAGGCATTATATTGTCTGTCTGATGCCTAAATTTGAAATTAATTCGAGGGTACTGTTGTTACACCCGAAATTTTAAGTGAGAGATGTCATCTTGGCCGCACTAGCGGATTATTCTGGTTATTTTGCAATCGCAATCACCAATATGTTCATCTCAGCGATTACTTCGCTCGAGTGAGGCGATAATGTATATGTGTAGGGTATCCGAGGCTGAAGATAATAATTGGCATTTACACCGGTACTAAGGACACATCGATTGCCTACCTATGCATGTCCATGTATACATACATCCATTTTTGCATGCATATACCAAGGTGTTTCCTTCTATCCACCCTTTTGCTGCAGATAGACGCTTATTTTGGATTGACTGCATCAGATTCAGTTTCAACGTTATGGTGCTTCTAACGTTGATACGCATTTGACCCGGAGGACTAGTTGCTCGACTTCATCTATACATATCCACGAGTTCTCTACACCATGACAACCCCGCAGTTTTGGGTCGCTACTTCTCAGCCCTCAGATGGTTGTGTATCTGACATCGCCACCAAGTCTACATCGTCATGTACAGCCCAGAAGTCAGTGCTGGTGACATCCATGTCACTGTAACCGTGTGCAAGTAGGTGCTTCACCACCTCGCACTTCACATCTTCGCCCATTTTGTGCCAGTCAATCGCAATCACTTGTGGTTTTACCGCAGAAAGCTCTTTCCACTGCAGAAAGTACTTCATGTTAGCTTTAGGCGATCCTTGCATATGAAGAGCAAGGATGGTCAGTCTACCCCTTTCTACACCCTGACCATAGCTCCCAGGTTGGTACACACTCTCTGAAGCGACTCTACTATCTTCCTCTGGTTCGCCCTCGGGTACCTGTAGGATTTTATCGTTCCCATTCTCATTCTCCATCGAAATGCCCATCGCTTCGGTACGCAAGGTATGCTCCTGCATGAACTGCTTAATGATGTGACCAAGCGTAGTGGTTTTGACCTTCCGGTCTCCCACTATCTTGGGCTCACTTTGCGCCGCACTTTTCCTCTGCAACTTACCTCGTACTAGGGACGGATTGGGAGCGCTCGCCTGCGGTACGGCGACGGTTCTCCCCGCACGCGTATCTACCACCGCATTGTGTACCCTCATCACGCCAACTTGACATCGACTTGTATGATTGCTGTTAACAGTCTTAAAATCGGTTGTAGGGATGTCCTGGCCTTGTGTTGCATCTCGTTCCGTATGGCCCTCTGCCGGCGGCGCTAAAGTGACAGTTTCTGTGCTATTCAACCGGGCATTCCAGACTTGAAACCACTCTAGTGAAGGATGAGTCATCACCCCGCTCCATACGCCTCGTTGTATCTGTGTCTCCACAAAGTTGGTATTGCCCTTCACATGCCCTACAGCAACGATAGTGACGTCCGTATTGTTTTCCTAGCAGACGAATTACACGGGGAACGCGGAATGCAAAGCATAAAATTATGTAGTATCAATATCTTACTTGTACAACCGTGAAAGTGTCATACCACCAAGCCTTTATATCTTGCACACTGCGTGTTCACCGAGTGTTCACCCAGTCGGTGTAGTCGTTCTGGTGAGTCTGCAAAGTATCACTTGCTGTATAGTACGACTGTCCAGACAGACACTAACAACGCTCAGTACCTCCCCAAACATGACCAAACAAAATTGTCGCGAGCGCTTGTTTATGCCGAGCACGTACACGCCACTCGGATACAAACGAGTAAAACCAGTGGCAGAACTACCGATACCTCGCTACATACCAGATAGGTCAAAGCGGTTCGAAGCTTGTGTCTCGGTTCTGACACACGTTGGAGCAGTCTACGACAGCCCGCAGTCTCCCATTCCGCGTATGTCTCACGCACAGGAAACCTGGCTGTCCAATTGACTAGGAAGGCGTTAGTGAACTGGTCGTCTACATAGCCCGGGATAGCTCGTAATAGTCCGGCTTGCCCTTCCAGTTGGGGCTCTGCTCCCACCGCTAGCGGATCGGCCCGTAGCTGTGGCAATATCGATTCATGCACTTCCGCGTTTGCCACTAATTCGGGAGTACGAGGTGATGGGGTGTAGGTAGGAAAACCCGGACCAGCAAGGCCCATTTGCAGAAAAAGGTCGTAGCATAGGTATGTAATCAGCACTGTAGGGATATTTGTAAGTTAGCCGGGATTTGGAAATACAGTTGCAGTCCTGATACTTGTATCGTCTTGAGGTGATAGCAGAATGGAGTGCAATCTGGTTGGTACACCCACCTGCTCGGCTGCGTGCTGGTATTGAGAAGGGCCGACGATACAACTGGCCACACACATACTGAGACAGTAGCTATGTATTTGTGTTTCGGAGGCCGACAGTTCATTGTATACGTACGTGCAATGTACAACTACACTACACCTGCATTAGAATGAGACATGGGGAGTTGTACCTCAATTGGCCCATATTTTTATTCCTACTCCACAATATGTACCGAGAATCGCTCGCAGATAGAGCTCATCCACGAGAGGGGGTTAAAAAGCATGATTCAAAAAGCACGGTCTCCCGATTATATTCCGGTATGCTATAGCAAACGAATGTGTCACAAAAACAGAATATTTATTGAGCTACTCAAGGCGGTGGACCTGAATACCAGGATTTGAAGGCACTTATATTGACAGGCCAATCCGTAGATGAGACTGCTATGTGCTTGATTTCAGCTTGTCGCTAGGAGGTGTGCAGTGCTTTGTGTACCATCTAGGATTGTACATGCCCAGCATAAAATTAACACGCTTGCATATATTAAGAACCATGCGTCATATAATGTACGTATGGGTCTTTCTGTGAATGAAATGATATGCAAATTTGCACAAAAACCTAAAATTGTACGCATAGTATCGAAATACATCTGCCTAATTGGCTGTCTGTCTTTTCTACAAACACCAGTGTTAATACACAGTCTACTGACACGTAGATATTACAATGTACAGACTGTCACAGGTTTATTTGCACATATGAAAGTATTCTGCAAGAAAATTAGATAAAAGATATTCGTGCCCTGAGCAACTCAATACTCGTTAAAATGTAAATGTGCATATATATTCTGGACTCGGCATTTGCACGGATGCCTCTAAATGGTGCCCTATCTTTTATAAGCTTCTGAACATATGGGCGAAATTTCAGTCATGAATTTCAGCTTGCACGCGAGTTCAATATAAAACAGCAACATACATTGCATTTTGAATTCACGGCGAGCTCAGTAAACGTATCTAGCTATACAAGAACAATCATTGCTCGGATATACAATTCGTTCGCTGTGAACTAAACGTCAACCCGGAAACACACGTACATGCCTATCGCATGGACGGAAATAGGAAAGTACTGCCGGATTAAATGCAATGGACATTATATGATACGAATACTAGTAGATATAGCAAGTACGCATATAAAGGCATATGTTTATATATATGTATATAAGTCCATACATATGAGAGAATATATATATAACGAAAGTGACTTTACGTATATATACATTGTAAAATAAGTAATATATATATATATTTATATATATATATATATATATAGTAATTAATTGTATATACATAAATACATACAAAATATCATATATTTATATATATAGATATATATATATACATATACAATTTATTTATATAGATATAATGGGNATATATACATATACTAATATATATATATATATATA